GGAGCCGCGGTGGAGCCGCGGTGGAGCCGCGGTGTGGAGTGGGGGGGGGGGCAGGCAAGGGGTTCAAGGGGAGGGGCAGGGTGAGCGACTTGTAGGCTTGTAGCAGGATAGCAGTGTGGCTGGAATTGAAGAGAGGGAGGTTGTGATGGGTGGGACACGACATGCGCAGGGCGGAGGAGTAGGAGGGTGGGGTGAGCGACGCGGACGTTGGGTATTCACCGGGGGCCTGCCCGCTCACGATGGAGCCGGCTTCTCGAGTGCAGCGGCCCGGTCGCTGATGACGGCACAACAACATGGTGCTCGATGTTGCACTGTGGCGATCCTTGCAGCAGTTCACAGGGAAAAAACTATCCTGGGCCCACTCAGAAGTAGTTCTGAGGTATACACATCTGCGGGCCATTTTCTTCAATGCACTCCCGCATCACTCACCTGCATTACTCACATGCATTGGTCACCCACATCACTCGCCCACATCACTCACAGCAACAAGAGCAGCTGAGTTCCCACAGCATCTGCATGTGATTGTATCTCAAGGCACTTGACACAAATAAAACAATAAACTGCATTGGTGTAGGTGGAGGGGTGCACCGGGTCACGAGAGAGGAGAGAGAGAGTTGCGCTACAGCGCAGGCTGGATGGAGAACGCGACATCGGCAATGACGAGGCACCACCGGGGCAGCGCTCGCGAAGGCGGGCGTCATGGTGGGGGGGGGGGGGGCGGCGATCCGAGCCCCCCCCCACCTCGATGACGCTCGCAATTCTTCCCCCACAAACAGCAAACACGAAGAGCCAGTTGTTGTTTTTTGTTTGCCTTCGAACACGCTACCTCTAGATTTCCAGAATGAAAGGAAGCACGGGGTTCATAGCGGTTACAGCTGTGGCTGCGTGGGATTCGTGGTGGATCGAGGCGGGGGGAGAGGGGCAGAGGGCAGCTGCTTGCGCCAAGCCTCACTGCCGGGCGGGCACGTCTGAGGAGCTTGAAATGAACACAAACAGGTAAATACAGAGCCATGGGGTTAGCAAGCCGGGTGCGAACAGCGCATGGAGGGAGTAGGATCGTGAGCTCTGACTCCACACACGAGGGGAGAGGGGTCTCCCCCCTCTCTCCGTGGGGCAAATACCCAGAGGGATCTCGGATCTCTCATCATCACGGCCTCGGTCCGCAATGATGAGAGCCGTGCAGTGCACTGTTTAGTGCAATGCCACCATCTCGGTGGGTGGGTGAGTAGGGGTAGTGGGTGACTAAGACAGGTTGAGATCGGGCTGTGGGTGAGAAGGGGTGGAGGGTGGGTGAGTGGGGAGGGTGGGTGAGTGAGTGGGGAGGGTTGGTGAGTGAGTGGGGGGGGGGGTGGGTGAGTGAGTGGGGGGTGGGTGAGTGAGTGGGGAGGGTGGGTGAGTGAGTGGGGAGGGGGTGGGTGAGTGAGTGGGGAGGGTGGGTGAGTGAGTGGGGAGGGTGGTGAGTGAGTGGGGGAGGGTGGGTGAGTGAGTGGGGAGGGTGGGTGAGTGAGTGGGGAGGGTGGGTGAGGAGTGGGGGTGGGTGTGAGTGAGTGGGGAGGGGGTGAGTGAGTGGGGAGGGGTGGGTGGGTGAGGAGAAGGGTGGGTGGGTGAGAGGAGAAGGGTGGGTGGGTGAGAGGAGAAGGGTGGGTGGGTGAGAGGAGAAGGGTGGGTGGGTGAGAGGAGAAGGGTGGGTGGGTGAGAGGAGAAGGGTGGGTGGGTGAGAGGAGGGTGGGTGGGTGAGAGGAGAAGGGTGGGTGGGTGAGAGGAGAAGGGTGGGTGGGTGAGAGGAGAAGGGTGGGTGGGTGAGAGGAGAAGGGTGGGTGGGTGAGAGGAGAAGGGTGGGTGGGTGAGAGGAGAAGGGTGGGTGGGTGAGAGGAGAAGGGGGGGGGTGAGAGGAGAAGGGTGGTGGGTGAGAGGAGAAGGGTGGTGGGTGAGAGGAGAAGGGTGGGAGAGTAGGGGAGGGTGGGTGGGTGGGTGAGTATCAGTGCGTGGGTGGTATCATTGCGTGGGTGAAAGGGAGGGTGGGTGAGAGGGAGGGGGGTGATTAAGGCAGGTTGAGATTGTACTAGGTGAGAAGATAGGGTGGGTGAGTAGGGTGGGGTGGGTGAGTAGGGTGGGGTGGGTGGGTGAGTAGAGGGAGGGTGGGGGGGTGGTGGGGGGGAGTGGGGGTGGGGTTGGTGGGTGAGTAGGGGAAGGGAGAGCAGGACGTGACTGTGAGGCACAGGCTGTGCCCGGCCGCTCTATCGGGAGGCCGCAGCTGTGCACGGTGTGGCCGGGCCGGGCCCTCGCCCACTGCCCGGGCCCGGCACACGAGTGCGCTCGTTCGTCTCTCGCCGGGAGGCGACTGCACTTGCCCTGTGTTCTCCGCTTTGCTTCTCTTCATCTTCGAGATTCGTGCAAGTACACACGCGTGTATACGCGCAAGCTAATGCACATGAGTGCACGCACCCACGTGGGCTTTCACCTCTGGCGTGACACGGTCTCGTCATCGGAGCCCCCACTCGGGATGTGACGCCTCGCTCCCCCTTCCCCCGTGGCCGAGAGTTCTATTTTCTGCTCACGGTTTTAGCCTCGAGGATGACACTTTGTATTATCCTGCCCCCACATCCTCCCCGCCACATCCCCTTCGCACCCCCACTGCCCCGCCACCCCCACCATCGCCGCCAATGCCACCACCACCGCGGCTACCACTGCCACCATCATCCACCACTACCCCACTACCCCCACCAATGCCACCGCAACCACCACCACTGCCGCTACCACCACCGTCGGCGCCACCTGCATAGCCACCACCGCCACCAGCGCCACTTTGAAGGATGAGCTCGTTGATCCGTTTTACGAGGGCGCGGGAAACTGCCGCTGGCGGAGGCACAGACGCGGCTTCGTCTGTAGCCCGATACGTTCTCTCTGAATATCGGCATCATCATCAGCATTGCCAACGTGGTCATTGCCGTCGCCAGGTCTTAATTTCTCACTAAATATTTCTCTGATCGCTGCTGGACTGGAGCAGGTGGCAGCAGCAGTGATTACAACAGTGATAGGCGTAGGGGCCACAGGCTGCTGGGGCAATGGCTGTTTGCGAGCACCTATTAGCAGCAATGTGCACGAGGGGATGGTGTGAGCAGCTCCACTTCCGGCCGCCTTTGTATCTTATGTTATTTTATATTTAAATTTCACCTTTACTTGAAGCGCCTAACATAGTTTGATGTAATGGAATGATTTAGATGGCGGGGGCGTGCAGGAGCTGAGGACTGATTGACCTTGATGGAGGGTACTTATGGGTCACGAAAGGGTAGGACATGGATGGGAAGAAGTGCTCATTTGAGGCTGAGTCGACCTAGGGGAGGCCCAGAATTGGTTCAGATATCACTGGTGTCGCGCTTCGAACACAGGTCGACGGGATCATGACGCTGTGCGCTCACCACTGCGGCACCGCTCCCCATTCGTGAACACGGCCATCGATGCGTGTGCACGCACCGCTGTACCGACGTCCCTTGCTTGCCGTGAAAGGCTCGTCGAGTCTCAAGACTCCTCTGCAGGAGGGTCATGCTACTTTGAAGATGATTTGTCATTTTAATATCTGACCATGCATAGGAGGGGGGCTGATACTCCACACAGATTGATGCATTTGCTCTGCAGCCCGCTTCTAGTCACCAGAGAGTGCTACAACAATCACCCCGACACCCCTCGACACATACCTGACATGTACCTGCCTCATAACTGATACGTACGTGACCTGACACGTACCTCACAAGTACCTCACACGTAAGCTGACATACAGTACCGACACACGCCCTGAATTGCGCCGATTAGGGCGTCTGGCTCTCCCCCCCTCCCAATCGTCCCCCCCTACCCCCCTTCACCTCCAATATTTAATATGTATCTTCCTACCCCTCTCCTTATCTCTCCTCCCTCCTCTCTGCTCTCCTCTCTCTCCCCTGCTCTCCTCCCTCCTCTCTCCCCCTCCGCTGTCCACATTGCCGCACCAGACGGACCGTCGGCATTGTTGGTCCCCCATTCTCCCCGGCACGCTCGGCACTCAGCAATTTTTATTTTGTTTTGCCGAATCGACGAGTTTTGTCGCTTGCCATTTTCCCCTAAGCGCCGGCGCCCCCACGCCGAACCCCGAGGACGCCACTGCCAGCAATGGAGGCCGCGGCGCCAGCAGCTCGTTACGCACGCCCCGTGGAGGCAAATAAATAAATAAATGGAGAACCCCGGTTCTTCACCGACGTTGTGCCGATGGGCGGCGTCCTGCCGAGCAACGACCTACACCTGCATCAGAAGCCAAGGGGTCAACATTCCCGTCGCCCCGAGCGGCAGTTTATCTGTGATGGGGTAAAGTGTGGGTACTCCCACCTACCTCTTGCTCACCTTGATGTTGAGATCTTAGCTGTTGAGATCCAACTCTTCTCCCTCGCCCATCCTGCTCCTGCTATTCCATGCCCCCAGCTACGACCACCCATTTCACTACCCCAACCCCTATCACTACCCCAACCCCCTATCCACCACCCCTATCACTACCTCTATCACCACCCATATCACTACCCCAAAACCTATCAACACCCCTAACACTACCCCTATCACTATCTGTCCCCCTACCCCTCAGCCACTCCCACCTGTCTTGTCACCATAATTACACCACCACTTTTAATAACCCCAATCTTTATGTCAACCACTATCATCTTATGTTAAATTTTAGAATTGCTATAAAGCTCCCTAGAATAAGGTGCTATATATATCGTGGAGTTGCAAGTCGCGTGGCCGCGAGTGGCCTGGTTCTGCGTGGCGCTCAGTTTTGCCGCGTGTTGTTCACCCCGTCGTCCGCTGGAGAGCCGTCCGGCGTGAGCCGTGCGACCGCGCCACGGCCAGTCGTGCGTAACCGCTCCTGCTACCGTCGCGCGAAACGTCGTGTGAACATCTCGAGATTGTCCGCTGTGCCCACGTGGGGTTGTCTGTGTGACGAGCTGCCGTTGTGTCCCCCCCCCCCCTCTCGTTCCCATGCTCGCAGGGAGGAGCCCCCCCCCTCCCACAAGCCACCGCCCCCCAGCAAGAAGAGCGACCACGGCAGCAACATCCGCGTGAGTGGGGCACGGGCACCGAGAGACTGAGAGCAGGGGCCACGTTGTCTGTGTCTCTGTCCGTCTCCCAGTCCATCTGTCCGTTTGTTTTTCTGTTCCCCCAGCCATGGGCCCAGTCGCCCGTCCATCCGCATGTCAGTTTGGGTGTCTCTTTTGACCGAGATGACTGGGAGATGCACAACCTGCGCCCCCTGCTGTACCAACTTGTTGTGTTTTAGCCGCCCGGAACTTCGCTCGTTGTTGGAGCGTTGCTTCTCTGCCGTCCTCTTGTTGGAGGGCAACTGCCTTCAATTGCCGAGTAGCATCACGAGCCTCCTCTATAGAGGCCGATCTTGACACCGCTGCTACCAGTTATTGCGCCACATCCTCTTGTACCACATCAGCTTCACCTCTTCTGTAGCCCTTGCAGCGCCAATTTAGCCCCCTCGATCCAGCCAGATGGGCACATGGGCGACATGACCCAGCCAACACAACTTCACCTACTGACAGAGTTCACCTATGATGGGACTGTCCAGATCTGCCAAAGATCTGCGAGCTCCTCGCACAATCCAGTGTGCAGGTTAAACTCAGCATCGATTGAAAGTAGGCAGGGGCCAGCCTTCATATTTCAAACTGGTGCAGATGTTCCTCCTTGTAAAGGGCTCCACACCCAGCACAGACACGTTTATCTCCTGTCGCTCTAGCCAGCTCTCCCACAATTTCGTCGTCTCTCTCTCCCTCCTGTCACAGCATGCCGCTCGGTGCTGGCGATGCGACATCGCACTGCATGGCGTTGCGTTCCCAATGCGCGCTCGCTCCACCAATCGCCTGTTGGTTGGAGAGGTCTTCTGTGGGGAATCGCGTACTGCTCTATGTAGCCAGTCCTTCTGATGACAGTCTACTGCTGATACTACTCGTAGCAGTAGTAGACTTGCAACTACTCGTAGCAGTAGTAGACTTGCTACTACTTGTAGCAATAGTAGACTTGCAACTACTCGTAGCAGTAGTAGACTTGCTACTACTCGTAGCAGTAGTAGACTGGCTACTACTCGTAGCAGTAGTAGACTGGCTACTACTCGTAGCAGTAGTAGACTGGCTACTACTCGTAGCAGTAGTAGACTGGCTACTACTCGTAGCAGTAGTAGACTGGCTACTACTACTTGTAGTAGTAGTAGACTGTCTACTACTCGTAGCAGTAGTAGACTTGCTACTACTTGTAGTAGTAGTAGACTGGCTACTACTCGTTGCAGTAGTAGACTGGCTGCTACTACTACTACTTGTAGCAGTTGTAGTAGACTTTTAAAACACCGACGCCTTCACGACCACTGACATCAGCATGTTTCCACACCTGGAACACCACGTCCTGTATACCTCCTCCCACTATGACTGACTGCAAGTCACGTGGCACCTATGCCAGGAAAATCCTGATGACGACGATAATGATGATTATGATGGCGATGCTGATGACGATGTTGATGGCGATAATGATACTGATTATGATGACGTTGATGATGCTGATGCTGGCGATGCGGATGACCCCGTGTGTAGATGATGCCGCTGGAGAACGACAACAAGGATGAGGAGCTGCAGAAGATGCCACTGCAGTCGCAGTACTACGACACCGGACGCGCCCAACTCCAACTACCCGGACCACACGGTGAGGGGGAGCGGTGGGGAGTGGTGGAGTGGTGGAGTGGTGGAGTGGTGGGGAGCGGTGGGGAGCGGTGGGGAGTGGTGGAGAGCAAGCTCCAGTGGGGGGTGGGAGGAGATTGATGGGCACGGGGGAAGTGGGCTGGCGAGGGAGAAGAGGGCAAGTACCGGTTGTGTTAACGACGTAGCGAGTCAGCCATTAGAATCGTCTTTCTCTCTTTCTCCCTCTCCACTCGCGAGTGTTTGCGATCATGATGATGATGGCGGGCTCGTGTCGCAACGAGCGACATTGTCGGTGCCACGCTCCGCGAGCCGACCGTACGAACGAGACGGAGCGAACCGACGGAGCTTGCATCCGCCGGAATGAGCCACTCACCCCCCCCCCTCGCACCCCTGCAACCCACAGCCACCGATGCGGTCACTCCGCCGTGGCGCTATTTGAAGACTCGTATTCTGCGATGCCGTGGACGGTTACGTAGCCCTTGATCTGTTCGCTACTGGACAAATGCCTACCCCCCCCACCGCCCTCCCACCCCCATCGCCGTGTCATCAGATTAAACCCCCGCATCGCACTGCCGAGCGGGTTTAATCGTTCAGGTGGAAAAGGGGGACGAGAGGGGGGAGGGTGGAGCGAGGGAGAGAGGAGGGTGATGTGTTGCACAGGTTACCACTTCTGCTGGTCTGGTACCTGAGTGTGTCGGAGGCAGGAACCCGATCGGTACAGAGGTGTGGGGCTGTGTGGGGCTGTGTGGGGCTGTGTGGGGCTGTGTGGGGCTGTGTGGGGCTGTGTGGGGCTGTGTGGGGCTGTGTGGGGCTGTGTGGGGCTGTGTGGGGCTGTGTGGGGCTGTGGGGGGCTGTGCGGGGCTGTGCGGGGCTGTGCGGGGCTGTGCGGGGCTGTGCGGGGCTGTGCGGGGCTGTGCGGGGGGCTGTGCGGGGCTGTGCGGGGCTGTGCGGGGCTGTGCGGGGCTGTGTCACAGATGTTCCGGCCCAGGCTGAGTGAGAGATCTGTCCAGCATTGCTGTGTGGAGAAGATGGCCACCCTCGACGGGGAGAGAGGGGGAGTGGGAGTCACGGGAGCAGCCGGGCCTATCCCTCACACCCCGCCCCCCTCCCGCCATCCCCTCTTCTCTGCCACATTGACAAATCGGTGATGGCGGGAGCCACGATCGCCACTCATCGATCAAACGCGGGACGATCAAATTGTTCCCAGCCTCTCCTTCCCACGCTTCTAATCGCTCACTCATTCACTCACTCGCTTGCTCACTCACCAATTCATTCACTCTCAAATTCACTCACTAATTCACGTATTCCACCAGCACAAGTCAATGGTTTTTCATTCCGTTGGAATATTTGTTTGTTTCGCAAAATTCCAGCTCCGACGACTTTGCCCGTCGTGCATGGAGCGTTTCTCTCGTGGCGAGCACCAGAGGGCCGCGACGTGAATCTGTTTCCCTCTTTACGTCGCCGTTCATGACGAACGTATCGACGCTTGGCTAGCTGTGCGCAGCGGGGATAGCGAGGGCCAGTCAGAGTGCGACTTGAGGGAGTCGTTTCTTTAAGTCGTCTTCCGGGGCCATTCTCCGACACGGGACGGTGAGCTGCTCACTGCCGAGTCTCGTGACACTGCGGCGGTCGCTCCCCCGGCGAGACGGACGAACGATCGATCTTGGCCGTGATCGCAATCCCGGCGGGCGAGGACGCACGACCGGCGAGACGCACGGCCGGCGAGACGCACGGCGGGCGAGACGCACGGCCGGCGAGACGCACGGCCGCCATGCGTGGCGTGGGGAGAGACGTGGGTGGGGAGGGAGACGAAAGAGAGGGTAGGCAGTGATGGAAGAGAAAAATGAAGGAGCGCAAGATGGAGGAGAACGATGTCGAGGAAGATGAAATGAGAGCGAGGGAGAGAAATATTGAGGAGTGAAAAGTAAGAGAGATGGTGGAGGGGAGGAGAGGGAGGGAAGGGCCGTTTCCAGGGCACAGGCTGCGGCGGCGGCGGTGTCGCGCTGGCCTCCATTACGGCGGCAGTCATCATTTTAAGAGACCAGATGAGACGTCTCCAGGCGCGCTCCACAAACCCTCAGCCCGCGAGACGGGGGCACGAGAGGTGGGGAGGATTGGGGAGGGTAGGGGGAGCAGATAATGGGGGGAGGGAGGGAGGGAGCCGCGGCCACATCGTTGGTGACCGTGGCGATGAGGGTGTTTGCCGGCGAAGTCTCGGTCGAGTCAACGATGGACCAAGCCGACAGAATCGCCGAAGGCTCCTGCCGTTGCCACCGCAGACGCAGTTCGCCCGCTGTGCCGAGGTGGGAGCGGCGTGTTTTGGTTGACGTGCTGTGGGGCGCCGGAGCTTTGGTTCCGGCTCGGCGGGAGGTTCAAGAAAGGTCATTGTTCCATGGCGGGTGACGGTGAGCGGCGTGGCGTTAAACACGGACATTTAATTAGTTTGGCCACGTCCGGTAGCGGGGAGGAACTTACAACGGAACTGTTTTTATTTGACTTAAAACTTTCGTTGACTGCAGGAATTATTATTCTTTGGTTCTTTCGTTCACAACACCAATTGTGATCGATACGTCGTAATCTTTATTTATTTACTTTTTTACTTGACATTACCAAAATAATCAAACGAACATACATTTTGCCAAGACAATATCTTGCGAATCCTCAGGTGATTGGTGACTTTAGAGGACTGGAGCGTGTCCTCGAGGGCACCTACCTTGGAGATGGAATTATGTCGTCTCTCGTGTGGGCGCTGGTTGGATTATTTCATCGTGGAGCCATGAGGGAATCGGAGGCTTTGATCCAGCAGTGATTGATCACAGCTGATTGAGTCGCCGCTGAGAGCGAACAAGCGAGGGTTGACGTGTCACGAGGAGCCGCGGGAGGCAGTGAGTGTCATAACGTGTGTCATGCTCGCTCCTCCCTCGCTCTGCCTCGCTCTCCCCCATGCTCGTTATCCCTAATTGGTAAATTGGTGAAGCTGGTTCCTCATGCCGCGATGTTGATCAGACTCCAACTGGCGGCCATGATGGCACTTCGGTGGCGCCAACGCTAATAGCTGCTCGTGTGACGCGTTGGTGAGCGGTGCGAGGGTGAGCGGGTGGGTGCGAGGGTGAGCGGGTGAGCGGGTGAGGGTGAGCGGGTGGGTGTGAGGGGGTGGGGCGAATTGTGGGAGTGGAGTCTTCAATAGTGGGGGGTCTCTGAGGGGGGGCAGCTCTTCACCGCTGGGGGCTCACAGCGCCAACACGCGTCGCGCCAATTAAACACGCGGCTGCACGCCAGGCACGCACGTGCGTCACACCACACTCGGTGCTCTCGGGAAGGTCGCACTTTGCTCTCCTGCTCGCTCGCTCGCTCACCGCTCTCCCCCTTTCGACGCCCGTCATTTGCCACGAACCGTTGGCGATCGCCGCGCGGAGATGCTGCGAAAAACCGTTGCCGGGGGTTAGCACCCGAGCCGTGGGGCGCAAACCCCCGAGGAAAAGGGCCTCCTCCGTTGTGCCGGCCGACGGCGGCTGTCCGTCTAAGGTGCCCGGCGGCACCGCCGACCGCGCCGCGGCCCCCGCAACTTGCTCGTTATTCCGGCGTGAGCCCCCTACCCCTCGCTCGGTGCGACGGCTCGCGTGGGGGAGCTGGAAGCAGTACCGGTTTGCTCGGGCACAGGGGTCGGAGTTTGTGCTCGCACGAGCGGAATGGTGTGGTCCAGCTCCTGGTTTGCAGACCTGCAGAGCCCGTGGTGGAAACTCCCTGTTCCTGTGGTGGGGCCGAGTCTATCTTTCGGACAAGCGCACTTGATTTTCCCCACAAAATGGTATTGTTTTATCGACCCCGGAGGGAGGGCTGACTCAAACCCCCAAACCAGAATCTGAACTCGCAACGTTTTGACCACTGTGAGCCACTCGCTCTGCGGCTGAGCCACCTCGCAACATTGTCCTGAACGAGGGTCACACCATGCAACCACACAACCACACCATCACACACATTACGAGGAAACTTCGGGGGCAGCGCGCGTCACAACGTGCGTACTTCCCTTTGGTGAGCGGCGTGTGATGGGTGGGGGGTTGTAGGAGAGGTCACGGTCTCCGTGACCTCCAGTGGCCCACGGCTGTGGCCGGAAGGTTCCGCTCAGACTGGAGGCGAGGGAGACCGGTGGGGGGGGAGTGGGGTGCAGAGGAGGGGTGGTGGAGGGGAGCGATGGTTAATCTGTTGGGCGACGCACGGAAGCAGAGTGATCGTGATGATGATTGTGACAACCACGGCTGGAGTGTGTTGCTGAGGGACTAGTGTTGTGGCCAAATTGCTGGTGTTGTGGCTAGATGACTGGTGTTGTGGCTAGATGACTAGTGTTGTGGCTAAATGACTGGTGTTGTGGCAAGATGACTGGTGTTGTGGCTAGATGGCTAGTGTTGTGACTAGATGACTAGTGTTGTGGCTAGATGACTGGTGTTGTGGCTAGATGGCTAGTGTTATGGCTAGATGGCTAGTGTTGTGGCTAGATGGCTAGTGTTGTGGCTAGATGACTGGTGTTGTGGCTAGATGACTGGTGTTGTGGCTAGATGACTAGTGTTGTGGCTAAATGACTGGTGTTGTGGCTAGATGGCTGGTGTTGTGGCTAAGTGACTAGTGTTATGGCTAGATGACTGGTGTTGTGGCTAGATGACTGGTGTTGTGGCTAGATGACTAGTGTTGTGGCTAGATTGCTGGTGTTGTGGCTAGCTGACTGGTGTTGTGGCTAGATGACTGGTGTTGTGGCTAGATGACTAGTGTTGTGGCTGGATGACTAGTGTTGTGGCTGGATGACTAGTGTTGTGGCTAGATGACTGGTGTTGTGGCTAGCTGACTGGTGTTGTGGCTAGATGGCTGGTGTTGTGGCTAGATGGCTGGTGTTGTGGCTAGCTGACTGGTGTTGTGGCTAGATGGCTGGTGTTGTGGCTAAGTGACTGGTGTTGTGGCTAGATGGCTGGTGTTGTGGCTAAGTGACTAGTGTTGTGGCTAGATGGCTGGTGT